GGGAAAAAAACACTGTGCAACAAGTATAGGCTACACTCGTTTTTGTGACACTCTTAATGCATTTTATTAAATTTCTTTATATCTTTATTTGATTAAATCCATCTGATCACACAGGCGCCTCATGCACACACAAATAGTTCTAGTGTTGCCTTACATTTCAGCCATTCATCATCAAACTAAAATGCAGTCAACCAAACATAAAAGTTATACTGTTTATTTTAAAAGGTCAGCTGTAAAATCAGCGTGCAGCGCCCAAACAAACATTTTTACACATGTGAAGGATTTTACACAGATATTAGAACATGAGTGAAGTATAAAGCCATGTTTAGGCTACATTAGAATAATAGTTATGCAAACAAATGTTACAAATATTGCAAAAATGGATACATTTGGATTCTTGTGGTATGAGACAGGCTCGAGCCCAATGTCGTTTCAGTTTTGCTTGACATATGTATGCTGTTTATAATGAATGCCACTATAACCTAATTTGTGTTTTATTTTATAGTTTAATATATCATTTTATAACTATTTATTTTTCATTCTTGTTCTGTTCTGAATACCATTACATTTAAGATATTTGTTGTAGAGTGAGGAGAACAAATAGGCTATTTACTGTATATGTACCAATATTTTAATATAAATGACAAATTAATGTAGCCTAATTGTTTGCAATTACAAGGTTAGCGGGTGTTTTTGGAGTAAGATCAATTTCTCTTTGATGAGATTACTTCCTCTTTTTGGCCGGGTTTCGTTTCTCCGTGTCGTAAACTCTAGGGGTGTGGCTTCTAAACCGGGGTGTTTAGACGCAAATGATTTGTGCGTACGGATCTGCTCTCGTTTCTACGTTAGATTGATAAATGAGGCCCACTGTGAGCTACAAGTAGGGCTGTAAAATCGATTAATCGCGATTAATCGCATCCAAAATAAAAGTTTGTGTTTACATACTATGTGTGTGTGTACTGTGAATATTTATATGTATATATAAATACACACATGCATACATGTATATATTTAAGAAATATATGTAATACATATTTATATATAATGTAAATCACATAGAAATATGAATATGTAATGTATACAACATGTAAATATTTCTTAAATACATGTATGTGTGTGTATTTATATATACATATAAAAATACAGTACACACACATATATTATGTAAACACAAATTTATCATTTGGATGCGATTAATCACAATTAATCGATTTGACAGCACTAGTCTTATTACTTTGTCTTTTTGTCTAATTTCCAAATACTTTTCCCCCTTCAAATCAAAGTTTGTGATGTTGTGATTCACCTTGTGAGCCTCATGGCTCATTACAGAGCCACACACACGACATGTGAAGGAACAAATGAATATCAAATCCACACATAAATAATTTGTTCCTGTGATTTAATAATCTGTAGCTATGTTTTGTTAATTAGTTCCCTCGTTTTAGTTACATCATGCCACACTGTACTAATTCATTCCCTCTTTTTAATTTAGTTAAATCATGGCCACAAAGCTTGTCATGCTTGCGACCCCACAGCTTATAACTTTTTTAACAAAGACATTTTTAAAATCCTTATGGACAAATGAATATGAAAAATATATATATTTCCGCAACACGTGGGCGGGCACTGTTGCACTCTATTGCAGACCTCGTTGTTCGCTTTAGTAATTAGTGAATGAAGGTAGGATGACTGATTTGAATATTAGGTCACACACACTGTGATGCTTCAGATGTTTTTTGTTCAATTACCTGCAGTATGTTGTGAATCTATCACTTGTTCGGGTTACGTGAAGCAGGTGGCGTGTAAGAAAAATTGTTCTAAATGCCATCAGATTAATCGCAACAATAGCAGAACGAGATCTTTGTTCCTGAACACAAAGAACCACTTCAGCATTAAAGGCTTCATTAGGTAGATATGACTTTAAATTATACTAATAATATCATTAAAGGGCCCTCATTTTTTTAGACCGTGCTGTAATAACTGGATTCTGGTGATGCTTAGTGCTCTGCTGGCAGTACAGGGCACGTGTCTTTCTCTCTCTCTCTCTGCCTTATTCCCTCCATCCCTGCCTTTCTTATATGAAGAGCGGCAGTCATGTCCAGATTACATAACTGGCACCCCATCTCTCATTCTTGTGGTCCAGTAGAGGGAAATGCTCAACCAGGATCTTATTATAGTGTTGTTCAACTGGGGTTAAAGTGCACTATCACACACGTTCTTTGAGTCTCATCAGGCAGGTGCTTGTTACTACATGTCCATCGTTCTTTCGTTCTGCCTAAAATGCTGTGTTTTTGGGATTATATTTGATTCTTCTTCAGCGAAGAGGATTTAGTGTTAGATTTAGATTTGCTAGTGTCCACTCTGTATGTGTGCTGACTTTGATTTTTGTGATGAACAGCAGTCAACGACATGAGCCTATTCGGAGAAGTGTGTAGCTACTGAGGAAATGGACATGCTTGTGAATTATGAAGTGTGTGTGTGCATGTGAGAGGAGGACAGGGATAAGGAAGAAAGCACAGAGGGAAAGAAAGATGGAGAGTGAGAGAGGAAGAGAAAGAAGGTGGAGCGAAGGTGAGAGAAGAGCAAGCGAAGACAGATGCAAGTCAGTGGCTGGTGTTTGCATACAAATGAATTTAGAAGATAATAGAGAAGACTATATTTATGTGTGCGGACAGATGTTTTACTGTGGAGGAGTGTTTGTGTGTTCACACGTAAAGGAATAGATCACCAAAAATGAAAATTTGCTGAAAATGTACTCACCCTCCGGCCATCCAAGATGTAGATCAGGGGCTGGTTGGACTAGTCTTAAAAGGTTAGTAAACTAATTGTTTTTCTTCAAGACTGGTCATAGCTTTTTAAATTCAGTTATGAAAAGGTAGATTGGTCTTATTACCCTTTGGCAACTGCTAGTTGGTCAAACGAGTTCTTAAAGGGGTCATATGATGCGATTTCAAGT